AAAAAGGGTTTACGGGGTACCAGCAGGAATGCCCGTTGCGGCGAAATCCACCCTAAAACGGACGTTGGTTAAGACCGCGGCCCCTCATTGCTCTCCCGTCTCTTCGATGGTGTTTGGATCCTAGTGAGACGATCGCCACTTCCTCGTTCCAGTGCGGCATGTTTCTTGCTCGCAACTCGCACAATGCTTGAACCAATGTAGACGACAAACACCTATTTGTCGATTTCAATAGCTTCTTTTGATTTAGGGAGCAAAGCCTCCAGCACTCGTGGCTTGAACTCCATTGCCCAAACTGTGCTATCCATCAGTGAACAATCCTTGAGATAAAGCCGCTCAAAAATTCTAAGACAATCGAAGAACAGTGGAAACAGGACTATCGCTTGCCTGATTGCATCCTCAACATTTCCCTTCTTGATGCCTCCCTCAAGAGGGATGCTTGGCACCGTATTGCGAAGTTCAAACAATCTAGAACTGGCGCCCAAGCCCTAAAAACAACAAAAATACGAGGGAAACTAGGAAAGACATTGTCCAAGAACAAACACAATCACCTTCATAATTTCGATGAAGAAACCTGATATGTTCGACAAACTCGCCGCACAGAGAACGGCGTAGAGGCAAAACGATGACAAATCACCTAGAGTAAAAAGACTGTGAATCAGCCTCACTTAGCAGACAAAAACTCCAACAAACCGTAAGTGAGCAATCCCTGACTGATAAGGTTACTTCCGTAGAACAGTACGGTTGACATCGCGATATACCCGGTGAATTGAAACTGAAATTATGATCCTTATTGAAATTATTAAAAATTATGATTATCTAGGAAAGCTGCACCACCGCGTACTTTGAGTTACATTTTGATTCGAAAAATGAAAACAAAACATAAAGTTCCTACCGAACCGTACATGGCACCACGAGCCAAGCCCTCTTTTCTCGATATCATCCAGATGTCGTAAATCTTGTCGGCGTAAGCACCTAGTTCCTTCTTTTCGGCAACCAGCATTCGAACCGTTCGAACATTCGACAGCCGTTCTGTCGCCACCTGCATGACGTAAATAATTTACCAACAAAATGTACACGAACGGAACTCTGGCGGGCCAATTACCGCTGACTTTTCACTTTCAACTTGCGAGAACTTGCATAAGGTCTCCAAAATAGGGAACCAAACACTTCTGTATGAATAGATTAATGGGTAGATCACCGAGAAATGCAAATCACACACAGCTGGTGGTAAGCTTCTTGTTCCCTTCACGCTTACCTGATTAGCCCCAGCTACAGCCTCCTGCATTTGAAGAGTGTACTTCCGTTGCAGTTTACCAAAAACAGCGAACGTTCCAACCATTATCGGAATCACAACAAACATCACTTGGCAGAGAGCAGGAGATGTGTACACCTACATAACATCCATTAAATTCCTTATTTTACCATTTTCAGGTCATAATTGAATTCACCATTAAACCGCCTGAACCTAAACATGTCAGGAGTGCTCGTGCACCATCGCTCAAATTCATGGACACCGAGTATCCTACGATGAGTGCATCAGTCGATAGACGAGAGACAATTTCGCCCACCTAAAAACTCATGAAAAAATAACAAAAAAATTAAATCCCATAAATAAGGAACAAATCAAAAAATCTAGGCAAAACCATAAACTGACTTTGTTCTTGTCAAAAAAGGCGATATCCTGCCGCAGAACCGAGTTGAAAACTTTTTTACGGAGATCATTAATGATGAGTTGTCCTGGAGCATGCAATTTCGGCAGAGAACTTGGCTGATGAAAGAGGAAGAATATATATAAGAAAAAGGTAGCATACCGGCAGTGTGCATACAATACACTCTTGCAGCTATGGCAGCACCTCCAAGAAATAATAACCCAACCAATGCAATGGGATTGTCCTTGAAGTACCTGAACGTGCCAAATTAAGCTGAAGGCCTCCTACCACCTACTCATACTTATTCGCGCTACTTCACGCACTCCAAAAAATGTTCGCGATACCGTCTACGATAAAAATGCTCCCAAATTTTGTGATGCTATTCAAACTCAAGAAGGCAGCTAGTTTTAAAGGGATTGAAAACGTACCTAGCAACCCGAAGCGATAGATCTTCATGTCCTGGAGCGGCTCGTTTCGTTTCATCGAACTCGTCTATTAACTTTCCCAGCACTCTGGGTGTTATAAGAAAAATCGAGCTGCTTACGCCGAGAAATGAGAGGCCCACTAAATCAAGCTTAAATGATTTTGAAATGGGCCAGAAATAAACCAGTCTCTGGATCCAATTGGTAAAAATGTCTTCGAAAACACTGCAACGTTCCCCATCTTCATAGGGAAATCTTCGCTTCTGGACAATGGTGCCTTCAACAACGCTCGTCTACTACCCAATGGTACTTCTACTATACCATCCTTTCGGCAGCTTCTAGTAAACACTAACCAAATCTTGCATGAAGTACTGGTGCACCAGAACTAAAGATGTACAGAGGGAGAACGCGAGAATCCGACGCACTCACTTCATATGCCCCTTCTAAGATATTAGGAAGAACACTCGTCTGGAAATGAATTAACAACGACGGTTGCCCCTAGTAACAGTAATAAGCTGACTAAGAAATGTTTCAATGCTAGAAAAACCACACACCAGCAATACAGCCAGCAGTGATGGAGTTCAAAATAAGGCACAAATCAATTCTGTGATTTTGAAGAAAAGTAATGTCGCTCTGGAGAGCCTACCAAGGTAGGGGAAGGACCAACGGACTGCTACGATACATTTCCAAGCATTGGGTTATGACGCTCTTGTCCTTTTGGGGGACATTCAAAACAGTGCCGATGGTAGGTACGACTAGAACTAAGCCAAGCAAAGGGAAGAAGCGAAAGGGGTAACACAAATTGCTCACATGCGCCGCAAGATCTTCCCACCGGGGTTAGCCCAAGCTCAGTATTCTGGCTCACCCTTAGATGCCACCCCCCCCCCCAAAGATATAAACTTCCTGGGTTACTTCCTTTTCCATTCAGCCATCAAAGATTCTATTAGGAATGTGTACCAAAACTCACGAAGAATTCTCCACTTGTACGGTCCAGCTAACGCGAATATCTCTTTCAAATCTTTGAATGTTGCATTTTTTAGCTTAACCGACGCACGCTTCGTCTCCACAGTCGTGACCTGGACAGTTAAAATTTGGAGAAAAGCTAACAAGTTTCCGAGCAAATTCTAAAAGGTTGCCGGTTTAAAAAATAAACCCACATTTCTCACAAAGGAGCTTCTCAACACTGTTCGACCGACTTTTAATAAGTTTAAAGATGGCGTGATAGACTGCCCGAGTTAAAGCACAGAATAACCTAAACAAATGCAAAAACTTCATAGACCTGGGTATTCGTTATTGATATGCAAACGTGTTGTTCAAGTATAACTGACCTTTTGTGACTGGATCGGAAAGTGAATAGGCCGCGAGTAAATAGCTCGGCCGGATCCAGCAGAGAGTGCACATCGTGAGAAGACTCCAACATGAAATGAGATGTGGGCACACTTAGCGGAAAACAGGCTTCAAGAAATCTACTCAATCATTACCACACACAACCATGAACGAAGAATGATGAAAAGGCGAATGTGTAAATGTGACGACGAATTTCGGCGTACAGTAGTCGCAGATGTCTGCAATATTGAGCCGATCCAGGCGGTTCTGCCGCGATCCGTGCTGAGCCAATTGTCGGGACTTGTCGCTTCTTTTGCTTTGAGATTCTTGAGCATTATCTGATTGATTAAGAAAGCTTTTAGTTTGTGTGCAAACTCTCTGCTTTGTTGATCTCGTACCTATTGCTAGGAAGTGTTTTGATTTTCACATCGCTTCGCTTTTCAGGGGTGGGGGAGTTTTCTGGCAGGGGGCGTGGCCGTGATCTCGTACACTGGATTTATGCCACATGTTGGATGGATAATCCATCGCACCATGAATTTGCTGCTTTTCTCTCTGGGCGCAATGTGGCTCCGGGGAGGGGAGGGGCAGCCGAAAACTTGGCGTCAAATCGCGGATTTGCTCGGCTTTGGGACGAAGCTTTGAAGAAAGGGATATCCGGATATAGGTAACAATTTTTATTCGCCCGTTTCGGAACTTCCCGCTAGGCTTAGTCCTTGTGACCTTCCGCAAACTGCCCTCCCCCTGGAGGCCACATTGCGCCTCTCTCTGGCTCATGGATATCCTGCATAGATGGGAAGTAGTCGAACCCATGTTGATGCCCTTCTATGGACCATGCCCTTTTTCATAGAAGTTATGCAATCTATGGTTTAGCTGAAGGTCCTGCTCAACATTACATTCATCTTTGAAGTCATTCCGTTTGACGCCACAGTGGCGCCAAAACTTTTTCCCACCAGTCCTGTCGACCCTCTTCAGAGCCACGATGTCTAATATCATTCGTGCTTAAAACGGAGTTCAATACTCGTAATCGAAGGACCTGTCTATGGGGAATTCATGGCGAGGGTTGTGAAAAACCTTGTCAATCTAGCGCCATATGGTGTTAAACGGCGTTGCAAATGTCATGTTCATGGTTGTGACCTGCAGTGTCTCTATGGATAACATGAAATAACCCTTTTGCTGCAAATTAGTGGCCAGGTATTTAATAAACTCAATTCTACTCCCTAATCTTCCACAATTATTTTTGTGTGCGAGTATAAATTTATCATATTTTTTTCTCATGGTAATGCAAAGGGGCACGCTGAAACAAGCCACTCGTCGCAGTGTGCCCCAATCCCCAGTTTTTGTCACTGATTTAATCATATTAGTATTTCATCCTAAATAGCTTTTCATCAAAATTTTATTCAAGAGGGATTGTTTGAGTAATAGCTCACTGAATGAAACAGCTTTTGGGCAGCGTGAATGCTATTCACATAGCATTGTGCTTTTGGACTTTGCTCTGTAATAATGTTCCATCAATCATGATTATTAATATTCATTGCTTAAGAATGAGTATTTTTTTTTTTTTTCTTTCTGGCAAAGGTGCACGCTTTCTAATATATGGGACTCGTAGCCAGTGCTATATATGGCGCAGTTTAATGGAGCGTCAAACGTTGATCCAGTTTTGTTGGAGTTGCCTGCATTCATTGAATTACGTAGTTTCACCTCTCGACATTTGGCTGTGCCTCATGAGAAGTCGGCTCATGGTGCAAGGTACTCTTTGCTCGGACCCAATCTGGTGAAATTGTTTGCCCTTGGAATGTGGTTTAGGGCAAGTTGCGAAAAGCCTTAGGTTAAACTTCGAGAGGAGCGAGCAGCGCTATGAAATGGAAACTGTTCACGCCCTTAAGTCCCTTTTTTCTATTAGATTCGTGGTTCAAAAGCAGAGGCATTTCTGCAATTCTGACGCAGTTATACTGCTCAACCCTCTCTTCAAGCACGTTGCACCCAATCTTGTACCCAAGGTGCTATTTTTGGATGAAGGTCTGGTTGACCCTGGGTGGGCTCCATTTCGAATTCTAGCTCTGAACCTTGCGTGTGTAACTTGGTTCTAGTTCGAGTGTGGAATAGGTACGGTACGTATCGATCGTGCGGTCATGTGGTCGGATGATCAATACGTCATCTTTTTCACACTCATACTGAAAAGTACCCGAAACCGCTGCCCCTCCCATACCAACTCTGCGAGATATAAGCTGACATTTGCTTTATAGACTTATGCCCTCAATTTAGGATAGGGATTAAACGGCTCGCAAATTCAGTTTGTACTGCATTTATCTAGTTTTTTTTTCTCTTTTTCGCTCTCATTCATTGAAATCTTAGTTTTCGGATCCGAAGGGTGAAGTTGATAATGCTCACTGGTTGAGGTTATTGACAGTAGTGGTTATGTGGTGGGTTATGGTGTTCTAAGGTTTCGTTCTGAACGCATGTAGTTCAGCGGCTGTTTGCGAAGCTTTCGTACGTTTTTTTGGAGATTACAGACTCAAAAAACTTTTTTATATGAAGGAAGAGATTAGCGCACCAGGCTGATTCTGATATAGTACTGATAAGACTGCGTCTTCAAAAAACTTGTTTGATGTTCAAATTACACAGCTTTTGATAGATTATCGGGTATTCTCTCGAATAGAATATAGAACTGTTTCAGAGGGAGTGATGAATCACTTTGGATTGTATTGTAATGTCTCTGGTGTGCGCTCTGAAGAGCACGTACGCTCGCAGAAGCTTCGCGTTGCGCGTGTCTCTGCGCCAGCGGCATGGCTGCCCATGCACTTCATTTTAATACCTCCTTTAGTCATCAATTCGCCTAACTCAATTGCGTTCACGTGCAATCTATCGTCCAATTTCCAACTGCATGATTTTGTTCCCTATTGTTAGGTTGAATTTTGAAATTATTTGATGAGTGCACTCAGTTGGACCGCTTTTTGCAATGATCACTAGAAAAAGTGCAGTTTTCAATTAAAAACTGGCTAATCAAAACGAAAGATTATCGTTGTTTGTGTAGTGTTTGGGTCAAACAACAAGAAGTACAGCTGCCTTGTGACAGACACCAACGCCTTACGCTTCGATCGATGGGTTTCTTGTTTCATTTTATCATTTCTCTTTATCGTTGGGTAAACAATACTATTCTCAGCTATGATGTGAAGTTCTGTTCTATACGTTAATTTCCATGGAACGATTGTTGAATATGAGCCGAGGCGGCTCCGTGTTCACAATTTTTCGTATTAATGTTATTATGTTATGTTGTGAAAGTCGCCGGCGTGTACTCGCAGAAATTACTACAATTTGAGGTACTGCTTATCAGGCCAATATGCTTGGTCGTCGAATACCGGTTGTCCAGCGGTATGCCATAAATATTGCAAGACAGGTTCGCATTAAAACCGGTTGCTTTGCACTTTGCAGCACAGCACGTTTTTTTTACCACTTCCTTAATTCTGTTCATTTCAGCGATTTTCGACCTCTCTTTCACCATGTAGGGCCATTTTAGCATGTGAGTAGAAATAAGTTGAATCAAACAATAATCTCTCCTTTTTGAGTCCTATGTTTTCTTCTTTGTTCTGGCTCGCTATAACTTCCTCATGTCGGCTCTCAGGTCAATCTCTGCCAATTTCCAACACAGCTGCCAGAAACATCACGTTACAAATGAGCTACATACCGATAAGAGCCATTCATGCCAGTGGCATACGACGTAAGTTCCTTTAAACTTTCTTTTTAGTATTCACTACATTTCTTCTTGGTATTCCGCAAGGATTTGGTGGATTAGAAGACAGCTATCAATTTTGTTCTAAGAGAACGTGCTCAAGTGATGTACCAGAAAGAACGATCAAAGCGATTGAGAGGCTCTCATGAGTCCACTCATGAAAGAGCGCTAGTGAGAGTGGAGAGGAAGCGATACGAGTTGGGGATTCTGGCCCGAAAAAGGGAAGGGGGTCGGTTTAGCATCTGGGAAAAGTTAATATAAGGAAATATGGGGAGGTTAAGAAGCTCAAACCAGGCGCCATGTCCAGCCCACCTTAGGCATATTTTACTACTGTATCCCATTTTCTTGGATTGGTTTTGAGCTGTGCATCTCGTTTTTCAGTCGGTGACGTGATTGTGGTGGAAGGACCAGCATTTGCGGAGTCAATTTCTGAAGGAGATATACGATGGATCAAACGTGATTTTGTTGTTCACATTCCGTCTGCTTATGTTAAACCTTATTAAATGTTTCATTTATAGAGAAGGGAGATTTTGTAAACGAAGATGAGCTTGTTGCTGAGATCGAGACTGATAAGGTTGGGCTTCTTTCAGCTTTTCATATAATAATTTCCCAAGGATCTCGAAACTAAATGTTTTTTCTTCCGCCAATGTTATGACTCATATGGCAAAACTTTGGGAGCATTTTTTGTGATGAAGTGAATAATTAGGTGTTTTAGTGAGTGTAGTGTTCCAAAATGTTGAAAGATTTTGTGGGATCAAATCTGTCATACCACCCCCCGCCCTGACAACACTGAGTGTCAAAACCAACTAAGAAAGTGTGCTTCAATATTACTCGTCAATACTTCCGCGATGTTTGTAAGTGCACATCAGGGGAACTTTAACGTCTTGAAGTAGGTTTCTGCGGTGATGTTTCGCATTGTTTAAGCAATCGATACTTACAGGAAAAACGTCAGCTGTTCCGCAAATCAAAGCTCTCCTAGAATTAATACCGAGGGGCTTGTATGTGAACAAATGGAGTTTAGAAGGGCTACTTGAGTGCCACCCAGAAATGCCCTTCGCCTAGCAACATCGCTACTACATCAAATCCATTACGTCCTGAGAAAGCTGATAGCAACGTAGGGAAATAATCCGCTGGGGCACAAATACTGTTCTCACGGCGATGATCTCATCCACACCTTGTCAATTTTCCAATAATACTCCTTATCAGCCTTAAAACACATGATGGATCTCTTTTCAGACATCTGTCGAAGTACCGGCTCCTCAATCTGGAACCATTGTTGAGCTGCTTGTAGAAGATGGAGCGAAGGTCACGGCTAAGCAGAAGCTGTACAAACTCGAGCCTGGGGCAGCTGGTGCCAGCGTGAGTTTTTGCCGTGTTTACTTGACCTCTGTGACTAGTACATTTCTAGTTTTCTTTCTGAAATGTGTTTGATCTAGTGCAAGAAACACGTGTACTAAATGCAATCTTGAGTCAAATGCGCCACATTTAGAACGTGATGCAGTCGGCTTGGCCTTATTATCCAGTTTTTAGGCTCCTGCCAAGGAACCTCCTAAGGAAGAGGCGAAGCCGGCACCACCTCCTGAGCAAGCTGCTCCTCCTAAACCAGCTGAAGCAGCAGCACCACCACCGCCATCTCCACCTCCACCACCACCACCTCCAAGCACACAAGGTATTTTTATTCGCACTTCTCTAGCTTAAGTGATATCTCTTGGTTAAAGCTTAACTTTTCTGAATCTTGTTTCAATATATTTTTCTTTGATATTTTGAGGAGAGATACCAAGAACACCTCCCCCGGTACCACGTCCGCCTTCTGCACCCATGTCCTCAGTTCCGGTTGCGAGCATTCCGGTTCAACGCATTACTGTACCAGCTGGCGCTTCCAAAGACATGGCAATAACTGGTGCCCGAGAAGAGGTCTGAAAAAGTTCATTCGATTGACAATGTCCGATTCGTCTACCATGCTAAAAGTACTAGGTTCGAGTGAAAATGAATCGGATGAGGCTGCGGATTGCAAGCCGTCTGAAGGACGCTCAGAATACATACGCAATGTTGACAACTTTTAACGAAGTTGATATGAGGTGAGGGATAAAACATGCTGTTCAATTGATAAGTAAAAGACATATTATGCAAACACCCTACACATATTACAGCAAAGTACACGCATATGCGTATTTTGCTCATTATTCTGTTCATCTGTTTTATTTTTCTTCACGTATTTTACCTCTTGAAGCTAACTTGGATTGAGATTTCTTGTTTGCGTTGTACTAGGACGAGATTGGATAGTTTGGCCGTTCCGATTATTTGCTGGCACTTGCCTTAATTTAGGATTCCTCGTTCCGCGTTTGGCTGTGTGTTGATTGCTTGCTACTTGCAATTCAATTCGGGTGCAATGCTTTGATGGGAAGGGTAAAATCTTGATCAAAATTGTCAGGGAATTCAAAAACGGGACGCGAAGAAACGCCTTAGAAAATTTATTTGTGTTCTTTTGTTCGATTTTAGCTTCTAAGCTATCTACATTTTTGTACTAACAAAAAATGTTTAGTAATTCATACAATTAAATGGGACCTTGAGTTTTCGCATCACGAAAAAAGATGTTTTCCTATAGGGAAAATCTAACGTTCGATTGCTGTGCTCATGAATTACTAATTTCTCATTACCCGTCTCCTTTCCCTAGCTAATCCTCGCGTCGCAGGTTCGCTGGGTAAACTACATGACGAATCTAAACTACAGGACGCACTCCGCAGTTGCTGTTATAACAGGCTTGGTAAAACATTAAACACTGGAGGTTATCATCCAGAGCACAGAGGAGAATCTCATTTTATTAGATTATTCGGAATTTCTGTTCATATTTAGAGGCTGAAAAAGAAGTCCCAGAAGCCATGTTGAATTTTTTTTACTGAATCAATCTCATATATCGAAAGGCTTCTTCTAATGAAATGTATTGCAAAACATACGCTTCTTCACGTTACAG